CGAGGGCACAGTGCCGCCTCGGGCGATGACAGAACGGAAAATACGGACTGTGCAGCAGCACTGGCGACCGTGACGGGTGGAGAGGGAGAGGCGGGGCGGGGCACCACTCTCCGCGTGCGAGTGAGGCGACACCAGTGCGGCGTCAGCGCTGAGTTCACTGGGGTTCTGTCGGCCGTGATTAACACGGCTCTTTAATCATGTCAACAGGTCCACGACGAGGTTTATTCAGATGATTTCCACAGTGGTTCATAGTCAGCAGAGCTGGCACTGCGAGAGGGCATATTCGACAGGCCAGACGTCTAGACCGCCCAGTTCAGGGGGTGTCGAAGTTTAGCTCCGATTCTTTTGTAAGTGTTCCAATCCGTGTTTCAAGAGCCGGCTCTAGCACTTGATCTCTGCTCCAGACGTGAAATTACCAGCACAGAACGTGCCTCAACAAGTTAGGCTCTGCTGTTCCTCCAACTTTGCGGGAAGCGCAAACTTTGTAAGCGCTCCACCAGTGGCACCAATATGCCGGTCGCATTCGGCGCCTCGCAGAGCCAGAAAACTGGAGAATAAAAGAGGTAATCGATTTAGCGCGTTCAAATGCCTCTTTTATCTTCATGTGATGCATGCTACTTTATGGAAGGGTGTGCGCAGTATGGACCATGAAGTAGCGCTAGTTCTCGGTGTTTATGCAAGGTGTTCTTTTAATCTGAGTAGGTACCTTTTGTCTGCTGAATCATAGATACAATATGCTGAAATACCGTTGCGAGAAAACGTATGCAGATACGTTTTCTATGATTGTGTTGTGAGATCCACAGAGACCACACATCAAGCACTCAGAACCATGCACTGGCTATCGGTATCCAAAGTTCGTCGACCTTAGCCAGCTCAGCTCTGCCAGGCTCGGTACGGCGGAGCTCTGGGTAGGCTGTACCGCAGCACACACCGGCACGGCGGTACAGCCTACCCACTCTCCGCCGGCTGCCGCGCTGCAGCTGGACTGCAGGAGACGAGGCGGACGGGACGCGTATTCGCCAATTGTATTACACGAACCGGCCGACCAATAGCGTGCCTCCTGAGTGACGTCAGCGTGGCGTCATACTTTCGGTCCTCGCCCTTGGTGGCGTCTATTGAAGCTAGGTTTTAACTTAATGACATTTAAGCAATTTGGAACATGTTGACGCCGTGGTGAAGTGGTTAGAGTATCGGACTGGTCATTCAGAGGTAGGTGGTTCGAATCCACTCGGCGACTTCGATTTTCGTGTCATCTGTCATTGTGCGTTTTTTATACATTTGCAACGGCGTGCACCTAAGAAATCAGACGTAGGCATTCTTCTAATGAATATGTTACATAAGATAGATATTTGCAGTCCAACCGATTGGTTCGGTTTCGGTATTTTCCAATGGTCTTTGTTTGTATTTGGTTTGGTAGCGGTGTTCTGATTTTCTGTGATTGGCATCACTAATGCATAGTGCATACTGCATACTATGCGAACGTAGCCAATGGAAAGACAAATGGTGCTGGGCAATGGCCATTCATTGATCAATATTTCTCGCTGCTAATGGGTGATAGCACGCAGCATTGACAGGGGCCTTTGAAAGTAGGTGGGCACTTGGCAAGGTAAAGTACCTAAAAGTAGCGAAAACTAAGATGAAAAGTAAAAATCGCACGCTGGTAAGCATAGCTTTTCGTGTAAGAATCTCCATGCACAAAAAGTTCGGCATAACTGTTAGCGTAATCACGGGACGAGATTATCAGTTTCCAGCCGTCAAAGCGTCATCTATAGGAGCTATGCCCTAACTATAACTCTTACATTTCAGCCGCCAGGGGGATACCTAAGTCCCCTTACTTGGAATCTAGTTAAAGTCAAAAGATTTATATTAGACCTTTATGAAGATAACTTGGGACTGGTTGTTAAGTTGCATGCTCACGGCGGGCTGTTATCAATTTATCTCTATACATGTCTTATCTGATCGATGAAATAATACAGGAATCCGTTGTCATTCGAGTGTGTTTCATAATAGCTCTTCCGACTTTGACGAATATCGACAGTGCCGTAACAAAATTGGTAGTTCAGGTATAGACTGCAACTGCAGTTCTTTTGCAACTTATTCCTTAATCAGATGAATACTTGTCAGAGATTTATTGGGCGTACGATATTGGCGTGCGAACGTAGGGGCCAAAAATGCGCGTCTACGACCGACTTCTTTTTAAGAGAAAAGAACCGCTAAAGCAAGAATCGATCCGCCGACCTTTCGTCCACCACACCGAGACTCTAACCACTCGGCTACTGCGACACATGCATGTTCGATAGCCATATACAATTTCAAAAAAGTCTCAACTCAAATCTAGCCTCAATGCATGCATTGTCGCGGCGGATGGCTATGACGTCGCACTAGAGATGTCGCTAGTTGATGGGCCGATTCGTGTAATACAATTGGCGAATACGCGGACGGGACCAGGCCCAATCGAAAACGGTGGCAACTTGATACCAGGCAAGAGTTCTTTATAATCAATGCAAAACAATTGTCAAACCGTGCCAGCCGATTAGAGCGAAGGATTTTTTTTCTTCACAAAATAGCCTAGCTCGTGAGTGACATAGTCTATAAAGAGAAACTGCAATCTTCGGAGTTGCGCGAATGGAGGTATCAAATATGGATTGTGAACCGGAGTGCTGCATCCCGTTGTGTGTTTCCTTTTCTCAAAGTTGACAATGGAATATGTGATTTCGTTGTTATTGATGCTGTGTTATGCAGAGATTTTGACTTTTTTCTCGAAATCCCACCAAAACGCAAGTATTTTGAACGTTAGTTCTGGAGGAACTTCTCTGAAGCCAATTTCGAGGCCCATTCACATCTGCCACAACTATAACCTCCAGTGTAGTAGCACTACGCTGCCTTAATGAAACACTTAAGCCTCAGTTGCATGACTCTGCTATGCTTCCGTGAAGTGTGGCATAAAGGATGACAGTTACGCATATCTAAGTCGGCGTACACGTATGCAGAGATCAACCCGTGCGGAATTGTGCTGCTGGCCTTTCTACCTCAGCGTGGATGGCCCCAATACAGCGCTAGAGTGGTGCTTAACTGCTTAGTGATCATGGCAATAAATAGGCTTTCTTTGCATTGGTTCCATCTTCATTCATATTTGAATACTAGTAATTTGCGGACCACTGATCGTTTAGTTGTTTGTATAGTGGACCGTTCCCTTCCTCCTCCCCAAACATAGATGAGCTGGTAAAAAATTGTGCCATTCATGTCAAGCTAGAACAATATTTGTACAGGCATAGCTGAAAAGCACGTTTGTGCCCAGAGGAAACGATGAAACATCTAATGTGCTGCTCATTGGCGTCTTGTTTTCCTTTTCTCAGAATCAAGTGTGTAATTTTTGTCTATCATCGACAAACAAATGTGCTTTACGAGCATCTTATTATAATAGCTATAACAATTACGCATATGCTAGCTATACACACTGACAAACATTATGTACGAGCATGCCCACATTAGCGAAGTTGTTCGTAGCACCATCAGGCTCACATTAGCGATCACTCTCTGAGCCAGCCGATTGTTGTCAGCCCTGTTGTCCTATTTTGTGGCGAAACGAATACAAATGCTCCATGGGCCATGGCTAATGGTTTACAACTTCAGGTGACGAGTTGTACTGCATTTTGCGAGTATCTTCTCGTATCTATCTTGTACTTTCTTCTGTGTCGCAGCAACCCACACATTTTTCAAACTTAAGATTTCATGCATATCTTGGAAACTAAATATCAGAAAATCAGTTTTTTATGGAAAAGCAAAATGAGCATCAACACATTTTCAAACGTTTTGTTTTTGTGTCAACATATATGAAATAACAAAAAGAATGCATCAAAAATCGTTCGTTCATAAACATCTTCATCCCCTGTTTGATGTCGATTGTGATTTGTTATCGAATATCATTGTCTCTACATTAGAAATTAATAATGATTTGCATAAGCGATATCGCTCATGATTTCATCGATTGTTTTGCCTCTATCTTTTACTGCTTCATTGATGCTCCGTTTTATAGCAGCTATCAAGTTCAACCCAGCAGAGAATCCATCATGTGTGCCGTGTTAGCATTATGACTGTCCGGCATTTATAGAGAAGGTCACGCGACGCTCGTCATTTCCTCGTTAGCCCTAACCTCTCTGTGACACCAGTCAGGACGCAGGCGTCATCATACACTACCAGCGGCACCACTGCACGTTTTTTTCTCACCCCCCCCCCCTGCGACGTGACTGATGTTTCACGGTCAATAACACGACGATGTTTCTGCGGCGGTGGCGGCAACACGAGCTCACGGCGGGGAAACGGCGGTCATCGATCGTCAGGGGACCCATCACCGTGCACACGGAGCGAGCACGTGACAGCGCGCCGGACGCACCACAACAGGCTGTGACATACGCGTCTGTGTCAGAATTGGCCCCAGGCGTGTCAGAATTGGCCCGCGGCGTGTCGGAATTGGTCGCCGGGCTATGTGTCATGCGGACGTGACTGCTGCCTCTGATGTGCCGACCCCAAACGCGCTGGAAGTTGAGCAGTGTCCCGGGGCACGGTTGCGTGACGGATTACTGAGCGAGCGCCGCTGTCGGGGAGCGCTAAATGTGTGCGGCCATGCACGAAACCCGGCCGTTTGAAGGGCTTGCTGCCGCATAACATGGTCGTTTTACCATAAAATGTCATGGAACGTCGCAAGGAAAAGTGAATGGGAGTTTCGTATAATACATGATCGGTAATTATATACCTTGTTTGACGTTGGAAAAAAATTGCTAGAAAACCTACAGCTACTTTAAAACAATTTTCCTGTCAAAACTCGAATATTTTATATTAAGAACAGTCGTCTGTGCTGCTCGCTTATCAACTATGATTTCAGGGATGTGCAGTTGCCAAATATGTTCAAACACGAATGACACGTAATGTGACGAGCTATTTCAGACTATTTAATGGCCCTAATCTCCGGCGTTCACACCTGACACATGTTCTCTTTCCGCAGGGCATTTATCCGGATATTGTGCATGTGCTGCCCAAAGACGTCGGCGAGGGCGCGACTGGGGAACCGACCGGTGAAGCATCAGGTGAGTTGCCGTGACGTCATCTGGGGGGCACGTGACGTCATCGGGGCGCATGACGGTAGAGAGGAACGACTAATGTGGAGCGTTTACTCTCCCTGTCGTGTTGTGAAAGGTCACCACTCACCATGTGTCTGTTCAAGTTCCCATGTTTTTAGTGGAAGGCTGAGATGTCAGGGCATGGCAGACTAAGTGAAATTCAACCCCAATTCCTATAACTTTATCCTCTTTTTAGGTAGCCTGCTGGCTTTTGATACCGCTTTTCTTAGATTCACAGATTTAGAAATATATTTTTTCTGACTTCAGTTCCTTTGGAGTTGAAAGAATAAAAGGATGTCTATATGCTGTGTGTTGACTTTTCATACGGCGGCTGTCAGCCTTTAACGTTTTCTTGATGCTTTCCCTGAATGCATAAAGCTATGAACAACTTTGTAGTAAAAGTCTGCCATTTGATGTCAAATTCAATCGATGCATTTTAAAACGAAAATTATATTATAAGTATTCATAAGTAAGTCGCATGGCGCTTATGCTATATTTATCTTCGCATGCTTCAATGATCGGACAATAAATCATTTCCCCAGTTCAATCCGAAAACTTTAAAGGTGAATGCATGGCTTCTATTTATACAAGCCAATGCTCTCATTTAAAAAAGGGTGGATAGACTGACGTGAAGCCACATTTTACGGCACGCATTCATTGTTGTCACACATGCCTATATAAATCGCAGAAACCTCTGCACTTACATTGTAATAAGCCTCGATCAAATTATTCAATGATGACGAACTTAAAAACACGAGGCTGACTATGTTCAGGAAGCAGGAAGGAAACCAAAAGCGAGAGCAGCGCATTGGCGGGTAAATGTCCGTCAAAGGCCACTGGTGTTGTGTCACGTTTTTGAGCGTGCCTGCACATTTATGTCGTCGCATTTCGGGCACACGTGACCTCACTCTCCGGCTTACCGAGGCGGAGGTTTAAAACATGGTCGTGTTTTCGGGACACCGGATATGTGGCTGCCACAATATGGGTGGTCACTGGTCTTTACGGGGCGAGTGGCCTGCTCGCAGGGTATATGATGGCAATTGGCAACTATTCAATAGCGACTTTTTTGAAACTGTGTTCAGCTCAATATTATGGTCATATTGCGTCACTGCTGAGGGACATATCGTAACAAATATATAATGCGTATTGTGCGATGATAACCAAAACGTGGCATAGAAACCCAAATTACATAACCAATGTTGCAAATTGGAAGCACTGGCGAAACAGTTCGAGAAGTTGATTTCGGCTTCGAATGTCCCGTTATAGCCTCGCTGACTTACGTGGGATCTTAGTGGCTATAAATCGAGAATAGAACACAATTAACTGAAGGGGCCACGCTCCAAGTTTCCACCTCGTAAAACTTGCGCCATTAAATTTTCCTGTCACTATGATACACGCTCTGGAGTGGCGATATGTGTTCAGTATTCGCTGGTGGGGTCACTTACGGGCATGATCATTACTCCCGTACGTCAGAGGTCATAGGGGTCACGATTTATTTCGACTTTATAGTGGGCTGCTACTTCAACTGCACAAAATACATGGAGAGGAAAAGAAGTACTTTTAGTCAACAGCTAGTCATGGACATGTTTGATTCATCAGTATCTGATTGTTTGCGTGGGCTCATGAGAATGTTGAGCTCACTGGGCCCGTTAGAGTTATGTGCTTGCTATGGTCCGTGAGGGCTTATATGGAGTTATTTCATCCTGATCTGTTAGTTTGTATCTGTGAGTTCGTGGCGGATGAGGGCGGCTTAAAGTCCTAGGGTTTGTGAGTCCGTGTCAGAAATGTGACGCCAGAACACAGTAGATCGCGGTTCAGCTCTGATTCAGACGGTTGATTCTGCTCAGTGAAGACGAATGGCCTAAACATTGACTGGGGGAACTGCAGATTTATATGTTATGTTTTCCAGAAATGACGAGGAATTCATCACATCTCATTTAACGGCATGTTTTGAAGATGACAGCATTTTAACATTTTAGAAAACTTTTGTCCTTTGAATTCAAGTCCAGAAGTCAGTTAGATTGCTCGAGCCTCGAAATGCGTGGAATTGTTTTCAAATACCCCGAGCATCTAAAACATCAAAGCACGTTTCCAAACATATTCTGCCATCATCTATCCTTCTCATCCATCCCATGTCCACGGCTGCGTTCCTCCGCCCTGCTTCCTCCCTCTTTATCCCGTCTATTCCTCGTCGCCAGCCTGACGGGCGCGCTTATCCCGCATCGACCGCGCGGTCCGCCGGGGGCGGCCCCTCGATCCAGCTCCCGACCCGACCGGACCGCCTGGGGCTATGTTCCCCAGCGCAGCCGCTGGGGGCTCTCACACCGCCTCCCCATAGACACAGCCTCTGTGAGAGCGGGCCCGCGGTGGTGGATCCGTTCGGGGAGTGATGCCACGCCGGAGAGAACAGGCAGGTCAAGAGGAAATCAAACCGCACGCTGCTAGCTCTGCGGCGCAGTGATGAGATATCACCTCAGCGCGCAACGGCGAGCGAGAATCGCAGGCTCTCAAGTCCAACCACTTTTCTCAGAGATGCGTCTGGAGGTCAGGAACCGCCGCTCGGTCGGTCTGCCTTTCCAATCTGGTTCTGATCAGCGGGAAAATGGCCTGCCTTGCCGGCGCCGCGCGGCCGCTGTCGGCTCTCCTTCACGGACCCTTCACAGGAGCACGCGCCGTGACCGGTCATTGCCAGCGGGTGACGACGAGCGGGCAGCGCGAGCGGTGGAGGGAGGGAGGAGCGCAAAGAGTGGGTGTAGGATATATGGCAGAGGATGGGATGGATGCAGAGGGTGGGGGACGGGCGGGTGGAAAAGGGCGAAGGGATGGAGCAGAAGGGAGGATTGGAGATAGCGGATGGGGTACAGACGAAGGAGAAGGACGGATTAAGGAGGGCCGATGAAGGGATGGCTTCTTTGCAAGGCAGGGCAGAGAAGATAAAACATGTAGGCATCACAGAGCTTGGAATGGATAAGGTACCAATGGTAGGAGATAAAAGCAAACATACGCTTTCCGGCGTTGTAATAGGATTCTACCTCACTAAGTAAGCTTATTCTTCTTTTAGCACACATTATTCATACTCTCAACGAAGTGAGAACTAAATTTACCAACGGGGAACATAGCTACCCATCATTATATCGTCTGTAAGTACCCGTTCACAGATAGTGCAGGATAGAGCAGCGGATGCGCGCAGCAACAGCCTACCATCAAAGGCGCGTTGTGTTACATTCTACGGGCGCGGGAGCGGCGGGGCGGGTCGCCGATGATCGATACGGAGCCTTTCCGACACAGACAGGGCCATGGGAGAGGCGATGGAGAACGGATGGCTTGGGAGAGCGCGAGCAGCGATAGATTCTTCGGCACCACCGACCTAGCGCAGGAAGTCGGCAGTATTGGCAGTGAGGAGAGGGCCATTGTGCTACTCGTCTGTTAGCCAAGCGTGACAAAGAAAGAAAATTGTTGAAAACAGAGATGAGAGGAGATGAGAATAAGAAGACTCTGGAGTCTAGGATAAATTAAATAAACAAATATTTTGCATTTTCTGAAATTATTTGAAACAATTACACTTATTAATGAAAAGAATAAATTCGTATACGAAAATGATGGAACGACTTAGAGACATGTTAGTGTGGAGAGCAAATAGATATTATAGGATTAAATTGGACTTACTCCACAAGAGAATCGTTGTGGAGTAAGTCTGTACTGAAGTACTGCGCAGAGTACTGCGCAGAGTACTGAAATAACTCTGCGCAGCTCACCGACATCTTGTGCGATTCGATTCGACCCGAACGTTTTATTTTCGCCCCGATTACCGACCTTCGCTGAAGAGGACATGTAATACATGTCGAAAGCTCCGACCGAAAACGATTCTCTTGTGGAGTAAGTCCAATTTAATCCTATAATATGATGGAACGAATTAAAAGGCAAAATGACTTGGGCGAAGTAACTTCTCTGCACGCACCGGTCGTAATTTCCCCGCAATTTAAAAGCTAAATGTGAAATTATGGAATCTTATGCACCCTGCAGACTACATCGCACAGTCTGACCAAACAGCATCTGCCTGCGACGAACGCCGCCATCGCTCCCGAGGCCCGCTCTTCCGACGCTCCATGGGGTCTCATCCGCCCCTCCCCGGCCCCCTGGGGTGACCACAAATGACCATGTCACAGAGCAGCTCAGACAGCCGGGCCGGTACCCCTCCCCTCCCCGGCGACCCAGTCGTCAGCGACGTATCAGTAACGTCATTGTACTGGTCGGCAGGGCTGTTGGTTTGCACTTGGAGTGCCTGAGAAGTGGAAGAGGTGGGAAAATGGTAGAGTACATCATACACATGTTAAGTACCAGTAAAACGCCTTTTGGGCGAAGAACGAGCGAGCGAGATAGTGAGCCCTGCACGTGCGGAAGGGTGAGAGGGTACTTCCAACGGGCTTGTGCAAAGCACCCTTCTAACCGGTCGCTAGCGATGTGCCAAATTTGAACGCAATCGGCCCAGCCGTTCCTGAGATCTGGAAGCGGCATTCTGCACGTGCGCACGTGCAAACGGGGTCCAAAATGACTTTTGCACGGCACCCTACTAACCGGTCCCCAACCGTGTACCAAATTTGAGCGCAATCGGCCCAGCCGTTCTCGAGATCTGGAAACGCCCCTGCACGTGCGCACGTGCAGTAGCACCCTAGCCGCAACACATGGGAATGCATTGCCTGGTGGGTGCCTACCTGTATGCTAAGTTTCAGCGAAATCGCCCCAGTAATTACCGAGTTACTGAAATGGGAACAAATTTGGCACCTATTCTTTTTGTATTTTGCACGTGCAGTAGGGGTCACTCACATAGATCAAGAGTATCTGACCTTTGGTAGAAGGGATGCAGCTACCCTATAAAAATTACCGCAAGACAATCGCTCAAGCCGCTGCTGAGATATGGGCCTCTCAAAATCACAACTTTTGCAAAGCTGCTTGAACACCCTTGACTTTTCACGTGGCACGTGCCACGACGGTCACTGAGATGTATCAGAAGTAGTCAATTACGGGGTAGAAGGGATGGGGCTACCCAGCAAAAAAGACCGCAGGCCAATCGGTCCAGCGGTTGCTGAGATTTAAGCCTCTCAAAAGCGTTACAGGCCGGGCCGGGCCGGGCCGGGCCGCTCATACTGATATTTTTCCGTTATATTGAAAAGACTTCGCTTCGCTCGCTGCGCTCGCTCGCTCGTAATTATTGTGGTGTGTTGAGTCCGCGGTTAAAATCCGCGGTTAAACATGTATTTTTTTTTTTTGCATTTGTAACTAATGTTTTCAAACAAACGGCAAACAATAATGATAAAATCCTTTTGCATTTATATCGATTACCTTTACATGACCCAACATCAAGCATCGACACTGCAACTGCTTGCAAATATGTATAGCCGATCACTGGCCAGGGACTTATTTCTTTTTCATTCCACCACAGTTCAAACCTTTACTAAATTATTTAATGGATTCGCACTACTGAGCATTGGGGAAAGACCTCCATAAAACCAACTGTCCTCGGGGGAAAGGCCTCCATAAAACCTGACTATCCTCGGAGGTCAGCGGTCGTCCCTGAAAGGCTCGTCTTTACGTTACAATTGTAGATGACTCACTATCAATATTCACGGAGGTGACCACCGCCGCCGGCATTGAAGCTCCCTCGTGAGTCAACCTGACACGCCCAGCAGAAATACTTTTGTAACATGTGTGGTGTGCTTTCATTGGATTCGACTTGACATTTCATCAGCAATTCAATAAAGTTGTGCCCCTGCAGGCGAGTGGTATATGGTGTGGTAGGTATAGTGTGCTTTTGTAAATGGAGTTGTTTAACATTATTCAATATTCAGTGGATCCTCGAACGGCTTTGCGATTAAACACATGGGCTCATCCTTTGTAACGTGACTACAAGGTGGGAAAACGCCGATACTATGGTATTCGATTATTTTGAAGCCTAGCTTCTAAGCCCTTATACTTCTTTCAAAATAATCATTTATCACACTACATATTTACCTACCCTTTCATTTTATGGGAGCCATGCCCGCCCCGGTGCCATCCGCCGCGCCGGCCGGCACCGTTTCCATCGTCTCGGGTCACCCGAGGTGACCCAGAGTCCGTTCATTTCACTCTGCACGATTCCGTTCAACCAACCCGTTCCACGGGGAACGCAGCCGATCAGACAAGGCCGCCAACCAATCAATGCGCCGTGCCCCCGTGACGTCACGCCGTACCCCCAGTGACGTCACATCCGGCTGAAATATGCGAGGCTCGCCGCCCAGCTGGGTTGGTTAGATTGGCCGGTCGGGGTCGCCGTCACCCGAACTATTGCTGGCAGGGGGCTCAACAACGGTGACAGGTCACAGACAGTCACTGGAAATGGTCCCTAAGGTCTGATAGGTATTGAGACTGCCTGCTGAGGTTGGTTTGAGATGGACTGAGAAGGGGAGATGAAACGGGGTCCGTGAGAGGCTGAGATCGGCTTGATTTGTTCCGATTGCAGCAGAAACATTCCTAAGATATACTGTTACAATCGCTCGGCGTTATCAGTTCTTTCGCAGCAATACTGCTTCCAGTTACCGCCTAAATTGATTTTATTACCTATTTATAAAATTAAATGTTATGTCAAAATATAATGCGATGAACACCTAATTTCATGATATCGTTAGTACGTATTCTTCTGGTCTTGTATTCTCATGTAATGCCACGGGGATGTATTCCCATGCGCACTCCGATTCCCATCTGCTCTATTCATGTCACGTATAGCGGCCAATATTCTGGGCACAGCGAAGAACGAGATCATTCTGCATGCGAGATGACCTCCAATCACTTCGGAATTCAAATGTAATCGTGTTGTAAATATGTAATCAGTTATATACAATTCCATTACAAAATGGTAAAATAGTTTCTTCCCGAGAGTCTGATAACAAACACTCGCGCCGAGATAGCTGAGAAGCGCTTAACGACCCGTGGCACACGCGCGGCCGGTGGGCAGTGCCGAGAGTGTACCTATCGAATGGCCATGTATGTACTTACGCAATTTCGACGAAATGATTTGTTCACGACGTGTTCTGTAAGATTTTAGATTTGCTTAAGCTGATAAAACCAGTTAAACCATCAAACCATTGAAGTTTAACTAATAACCTTACATCACTTGAACTTTTTTGGTCATTTCTTGTGTTTTCTGGCACAAAACATGTTTGTTTTCGTCACATAGCTCCCTATGGCTCTCATATCTTGTTTTTTGTTAATTCACCACCATTTGTTACACAGTAGGAGGCCATAGTTGACTAATTGCATTTGTATTTCATCACATTCCTCACATATCTGAATCTCCCGCACATACATGTTCTCGTATTTCTGATTTAGGAAGGTACCTAATAATATGCCAAGCAAATACGTATAACTAATTCAGCTCAACTTAGCATGGCGTTCAGGACACCTATTTAATTATCCCGTAAGTCCAGAAGTGTATTGTACCGCCAGTCGGTTGTGAACGAAAACAGCGTGTTCGTGGCAGTGTGGCCAGTGCAGCAGAGCATTTGGCAACAATGGTCATGGAAAGCTGGCGGAGGTCATGGATCCCAAAGTAATCTTTTACGTGCTGTTATGCTTGTTTCCAGTCTTTTTAGTGATGGACACAAAATGATCTACAATAAATCATACAATTTCTCAGAGGAGAGTCGGTTCGCAGTTACTAAACCCGAGTATCTCTATCTGCTTCATCCTCCACCAGCTCATCATTCCTATGTTACGATATGTATATAGCGGCAAAGTGTTCCTCAACCTCCTCCTAATGGTCAAATATGGATACAATGCATCCGCCCGCGGTAGCAAGCAGCCCGCTGAATTTTGTTCCCCTCCCATTTTGGGCCCATCACGGCGTATGCGGTATGACTTCGGCGTTATTTGCCTCACTGTTTTGTTTACTTTTTGTTCGCCGCCGTCCATTATTGCCGTTATCGCTGTTGATTTTTGCCGTACCTTCAGTTGGGCACGTGCCGACGCAGACGTCACCAATGACGTCATCAGTCGGCTTAGTCTGCGACTCGGCCGAAACTTATAGACCGTCTGGTGCGCCGGCCGCGACACAGGTAACTTTTCAATGGTCCAACTCTCCAGAAATGTCCTAACTTGGTGTCTAGTGGGCACGAGCTTCTGACTTAACTCGAGCAGCAATAATCACGCGCTTCTATCCTTCATCAGCTGACGCCACTGACATTGGAACCTTGCTTCGCTACTTATCTACTAATCTATCGCTACTAACCTATGTACAGCACGTCAACGATGCCACAAGCACTATCCGCCCACAACTTTCAAATCCTTCTATGAACAATAAATGCCAGCGCTGAATGCTCTCTTTCGGCCTCTTCAAGCATGAACAGAGTCCTCCCCAGCTTTACGTGTATACTAATTGCTACCTTTCGCACTTATGCTATATTCTTGACATAGGCGTAGGAACAGGGGGGGCCGGGGGGGGCCATGGCCCCCCCACTTTCGGAGGTGGGGGGGCCAGCAATGTTAACTGGCCCCCCCCACTTTTTGCTGACTTAAGTGTCTGTCTGTACCTAACCTACCACCCGGTAACTTGACAACTATTCAGCTTGCCCTTTAATGAGGATTCCTTTTTGTTTCTACAGCGTTATTGACCGCAATTTCCTTCACTCAATGAAGGAAACCATATCAGAGACAAGACTGTGAGTCCTGGTGACAGCATTTTGTTGAATACGAGGCGCGGGACAGCGAGCACTAAAAAGGTATAGGCAATACTAAGACAATACTAGCACGGTGCAGGAGAATGCGTATACAAACGACCAACGCTTGACCTTATCTGCTTGGGGTCGGCATAGTTCGTCAAAGACGTACTAGCTGGGGGCCAGGGTGACCGTGCCTCAGCCTCGTTTCAAACAGGCTGGGGCCAGCAATGTCTGTTTCTGCCCCTCCCCCTTCCACTTTCAGTGCAGTGACGGTCGCAGAGGGGGATCAGGGCCATGCCCTTCCCCCCTCCAAAGGCTAATCAGGGGGCCATCATATCATTTGGCCCCCCCAAACAACCAATGGGCCCCCATGGGCGTATGGGGCTCTGGCCCTTATTCGATTGTCACGAGACTCAAGAATCCCACGCTAGCTATTAACAGCTCCCAAACCAGTCTTTGAGGGTCCTACACTGATCTCGGAGGGCCCTTCAGTGGCGGTCAAGCGCCCACATTGACCGCTGAGAACCCACATTGACCTCATTTGAGGGCCCCTAAACCGGCCTCAAGGGCCCAGCCGGCGTCTGAGGGCCTCACACCGGCCTCTGGTGGCCTCATTTCTGTCTCTGGGGTGCCTTTAGGTGCCTTTGAGGGCCCCGCACTGAATTCTGAAGACCCGATGCCGGCCTCTAAGGGTCCGCATCGGCCTCTGAGGGTCCACCTTGGCCTGAGGGGTCCAACGCCGGCCCATGCCGGTCTTTTAGGGCCCCACACTGACCTCTAAGGGCCCATGCTGACCTGTAAGGACCCACATTAGCCTATGAGGCCTTGCACGGGATTCTGAAGACCTGATGCCGGCCTCTGAGGCCCATCTTGGTTTTTGAGGGCCTTCTGCTGGTCTCTGGGTTCCAACACCGGCCCATGCCGGTATTTTAGGGTCCCACATTGACCTCTAAGGGCCCCGCACTGGATTCCGGAGATCCGATGCCGGTCTCCAACGGTTCGCATCGGCCTCTGAGGGCCCACCTTGGCCTATGAGGGCCCTCCGCTGGTCTCTAGGTTCCAAGTCCCTCCCATGCCGGTCTGTTACGGCCCCACACTGACCTCTAAGGGCCCATGCTGGCCTGTAAGGACACGCATTAGTCTCTGAGGGCCTTGCACTGGATTCTGAAGACCCGATGCTGGCCTCTGAGGCCCATCTTGGTTTTTGAGGGTCTTCTGCTGGCCTCTGGGGTCCAACACCGGCCCATGCCGGCATTTTAGGGTCCCACACTGACCTCTGAGGGCCCATACTGGCCTGTAAGGACCCACATTAGCCTCTGATGGCCCAAGTCGACATCTTAAGGTCTCATCCTGCCCTTTGCAGGCCCTGTACTGGTCTCTGAGGGCCTTAACCCTCGCCAGCCGGGGGGGGGGGGTGCCGCCCCTCCATAGTTTTTTTTTTCGCGATAGCTCCGAACACGCCGGCGATAGAGAGCTGAAGCTTGGCATACCTGACCTTTGAATCAAACGGGATCTTTTGACACCAACCGCATTTTCGGGTCAGATCAGGTCACTGACCCATGTGGTCATAAGTGAACCTCTGCACGGTCTTCAGATGTCGCAACTTCGCAACGCCCTCACTGCCAGAGGAGATTTCACAGGGAAATGAACCTTGGAGGACCTAGTATCCAATAGGAGTCTTTCAACTTGTATAATGTATATCTCGGATTTTTCCTAAAGTTCATATGAGGTCAGGTCATTTTCGTGACCTCACCATTAGGTATAAGTCAATGGGGATAAACTGAAAACTTTTTCTGGCGCCGGGAATGATCGATCTCCAACTATCTCAAGCACACCGAATCGTGATTTCATGCACTCCTTGCAAGGTTCGATGCGTCACTTTTGCAATGTTGACCTTGCGCGACGTCATTTATGAAGTTATAAGGGTCTTATTAGTTTTTCGTCAATAACTAGGTACCGATCAAATTGAGCTAGCGAGTCGGGAAAGCCACCTATGGACTCAAGAAGACCTGCCGAATCGAATGATATGCGACATGACCTCCTTCGACCAATTTCGTGACCTGGGGACGCCGACCTGACCGTGACCCGAGGTCAACACCCTAAGTTTACCTCACCCAAACAAAAAGTATATCATTCGACGCGCCTGAGAGAGGCGAACACGATGCTGGCAAAATCGCGGCTCTGCGGCCATTTTTTGCGAAGTTATTCACCAAAAACGGAACCGTGCCTTGAGGCACTTGACCTGACCTCAGAGGTCACCGGTTTTTGTTTGTTTTGTTGGGTTAGGCCCTTTCGGTCCAATGAGACCATTTCAGAGCCGGAAGGATGATAGGATATAGGGGGAGACATTGGTCTGGGCAGGCACCCTAGTGAGTCGCCGGGGCTGAGCCCGTCCAGAGGACAGGCCACCCAGCCCCAAGGCACTCACTGCACCCGGCTACGGGGTGCGCTCCCTCGGGAGCAGCGGTGCCGCTCCAAGGGAGCTGCCCGCATGAGATAAAGTTGCCTGTCCAGCCCGGAGGGGGTTGCGGTGTGGAGGAGAAGGATTTCAGTATCCTGAGGATAGAAGCACGGAACGGTGTCAGAGGTCACCGGTTGACCTAGGACCATAAAATCGGGTATCGATCTCTGCGTCCCGTAACGGCGCACACGCTCGTTTTACCGCGACGCGCTAGCTCCACCTGGGGCGAAACGGCGAGGGGGTCGTACCCGCCGGCCCGCCCCTTCGGCCAGCGCGTATGTAGAAAACCTATAGGACCGGGCCGTGGAGGGTTAAACTGGCCTCTGAAGGCCCAGACCGTCTAAAAATCCCACACCGGCCTCTGATAAGTGATAGTCAATCAGCCCAGTTGCAGTGGTCGCTGATATAAAACCTCTTAAAAACGTTATAGGCCTGGCTGAGCCTAGCTGGGCCGTTCATGCTGATTTTTATAGGTATATTGAAAAGACTCGCTTTGCACGTTTCACGCTTGCTCGTAATGAAAAAGTTGCTGGATGCCTCTGGAATTTGCATGGGTGCCAACGGCTGCGGAGGTCAGGGGAACGCGTCCATCAGTTTGAGCTTATGGACGGGAGACTCCCTGAAATTTCAACCATTTTTTTTCTTTTTTTGTCTCGATTTTTTTTTACCTCTGAGCATGTTTGCGAAAACAAAGTGGCCGAAATCCGAGGAGAAATCGGATTTTGGGGGTAGGTTAGGTTTTGGACCTCTGGGACCCTGGCCCCCCCACTTTCGAAAACGTTCCTACGCCTATGATTCTTGAACATTAACCCATGTGTGAATGACGAGATGATTGGCGAAAGGGTGTGTTACGAGGGATTTTGATGGTAGGTATACCCGACTATGTGAGATGAATGTCAGTATCCGTACTGCCGAAGTGCCCTTGTTGCCTAGTGTTGGCAAAGTCGACCGGGAATTATTGGTATAATCAGAATCAGGTACCAGGTGCGATTACCTGTGTAGAATTGCAATCACAGAGTAATGGTGCACCTGCACTCATGCATATTGTTCGTGTTATTGAGCTCAGGTTTCAAGAAATCCCTTCTTCGTGGAACGCTATTCTCGATCAGTCATGTAAGAAGATCGAACTTGGACAATCGATGACCTGTTAATGGTATAGCGGTTTCAATAGCTGCTGCTGCATACTGATTTGAGTAATTATTGAAAGTTTATATCCCATATACTAGCTGCTACCAGTTGTATTAGCCAACGAGCTTCTTGTTCCCTGCAGCACTTGTAGAGATGAATGCCCACAATTCAATGTTTTTGGGGTTCAAAGGCACCCAACAGAGCATTTATCTATGATATGTCTGGGTGTTTAGGAGCATAGACAGGTATAGCTTGTCAAAAGAGTCCAGCTTTGACCATGATGAACAAGTCAGAACTTTCAAAGTTGAGTTCGTCTTGATGGTATCAGCTTCTAGCATCTTTGCTTTCGAAAATAGTTCCCAATGGCCGTTTCCACGACGGGCTATCCGGCGAGTGCACCTAATTTGACCAAATCTGCACCTAATCTCTTTTACAGCAAATATATTTATTTTATGAATTTATCTCAGCGTTTTAATCGATGATACTCTCGGATAATATGACAAAGCAGGCATGTAAACAATAAATATAACCCCAGCTAATAGCTAGTAAGACTTAAAAGACACACTGAACCTAATTTGACCAAATCTGCACCTAATCTGCACCAGATGTGCACCAAATGTGTACCAGATGGCCGTCGTGAAAACGGCTAATAAGACCTCTTTTTCATGTGTTTACGAGTAGTGCAGATGCATCCACACAACGTTTAAAATGTTGACTAAAATAAACTGTTGGGGACGTCCATGCCCTCTTTACACACCTCCCTTACTCCAATTTTCTGGACACAAAGCCTTTTGTGTGAGTCAAATGAATGAACGATATTGCTTTCCTGCGTCAATTTATGGCCATACCACACTCTTATGCCCACGCACTTCCGGAAAATGTCTACCGAATTCCTGCGTAATCTACACGACCAATCTTTTTTCTTATATCATCGGATACTCAGGCTAAGGAAGAGCAAGGCTTATCTAGAATAGATCACGTCGCACGAAGTCTGTGGGATTCTGATAATTATCCAATACTCGACAGCGCGCGTTCATCATACTCACACCATATGCCTCTAATCCGGAGAATCCGCTTCCTACTGAGACCAGCAGGATCTCATTCACGTTCTCGACGGGCCGTTCGGGCCCGGCCAGGAAACGCTGGCCGCTCCAAAATGGGCAATTGGCCAGAGAAGGGCCTCGTATTTTGTCGATATGGAGGAAACCTTTGTCAAAAGCTGCCTTGTAATGACTCTAACGGCGCATTAGTGCTCACTCTCATCTATTAAGTTTGCGCCGGCGGTCAAATTGCCTCTCCTGGTGCCTCCGACAAATATCACAGAGTCGTTCACGGCGCCTGCTTCTGTTCGCCTGTGCCGACCAGACACCCACAGGGCCCTGGACTGGTCGTTTCGGTCGCGGTGCCATACGCGGAAGGCCTTATTAACTGGAAAATGACCTTTGCGGCTGCTCCAAGCCACGACTTGTGTTTCATTCTATTCTTTTTTTTTTAATTATTTTATTCCATACGGGGAGCAAATTACTACGACAAATTACTGCTTCTTATCATGCATATACGAACAATGGCGGAAACAAGCCAAACAGCCGATATAACCTGCATTTCGGTGTCCCCAACCACATGAGTGTCACATCAAGTTCAATGTTAATCGTGCTCGTTGTCACTATGAATGACGAGTGAAGAGACGGCCCAACTGACTGTGTCCATGTGTGTGTGTGTGTGTGTGTGTGTGTCGGCGTTTCCAGCTGGACCAGCCGACGATCGTGTTGTCTCCGCCGAGCCGTCGGCACACACCCCCGGAGCAGGCCGTGGGCAGGTGACACCGGGCCGGCCGGCCGGTCACCAGCGACATCACCTGTGACCTGGCGCTGCTGACGCCGACGGTGACGCCGCGCCGCGCCGGCCGCCGACCCTCCACACCGGCCACGGATAGGTGGGTATTCACCGGTATTTACCTACTGACCCCTGCGCCGCCCGGCCCAGACAGAGCGGCCCCCTGCGCCACCCCAGGGCAGCCCTCTGTGACCCCCCCCCCCCAACAGTGCGGGCCCTCTGCGCCATCCGCGACAGGGCGGCCCCTCTACGCCACCCCTTCAGGTGTGTAGACCGGCCCCTGGCCGCTCCTGCGCTCCTGCGCCACCCCCTGACCGGCCCACGCAGCCGGGCCTGGATGGAGAGTCATTCATCACCAGAACGTCGCAGTTGGCGCTGATGAATTGAGCCGGAGCCCTTCCAGGCATCCGTTCAATGTCGGTAGTACGTGAGCTCATTATTCGCGGTGAAAAATACCAACCGGGTCTCGTGGTATCCGATTATGAAAATATCCATGAAATGTAAGGCCGGTGGGGCCGCTGAGCCTGGCGCGATTACTGACGCGCCGGAGCCAACCCAGCGCTACGTGCGCTGCCTGAAAATGGCTGTCGGAGGGAACTATGCACCATTCAGTGCATGGGGAGGGCGCGCGGGACTCACAATGGCCCGAAAATGATTATATTGGATTTGATCTGACATTTGACACCTTGGAGGATCATTCTATTTTCGCCGTGCGCAGTAGGGGCTATTTTTGGGCGATCGGAGTCGGTCGTGTGTTCTGTGGCAGCCGATAGCGTGGGCATTAAAGGCCACCGGTATAGGCTATTCTGGCCATTCCGCGGTAGTTACCGATCCTCTTATCGGCCAGCTAGAAATGTGTGGTCTCAAAGTTACCAGCATTTTACCGGGGGCTGGTCTATTACGGCGTGCGGTGAAGAGACTTTTTATCGTATACTGCTTTAGCTTACTACTGACCTAAGAAACAGGAGCGTCGGAAAAGTTCGACACAATATTTGACTTCGACCGCCCTGTGTCAAGGGCGCGCATAAGTGTGGGGGGGGCGGGCACACAGTCTCGTGCTACCCCATTCGAATTGAGGCGGATGGGCCCCTAATCTTTAGACCGCCGAAGACGTCACAAAATGAGCTGAATTGATGGTTGAAGAGATCGGGAGGGCCCATCTCGGGCAATTTTTTTCTGCTGATGCCTGGGGCCCGCCCCTTCGGCATGCAGGGGGCCCAGTTTGCAGGTCTCCCATTCAAAAATCCTGTGTGTGCGCCTGCTCTGCATCTATAAACTGACAAGTCTAGCGTTAGTTTCTCAGTGCCCACTGCAGAAAGAACAGTTTCGATGCCCCTCGTGTCCAGAAGAGGCAGCTATTTATGTCTTGGCTGGTTGCTGCAATCCACCCAATCTGGCTTACCTTCTTTGCTATAGATTACATTCATTCAGGCACGTAGCCAGGATTTTGCTCAGGGAGGGGCCATATGTCGCGGCCATAGTGTTGTACATACCGTCTACAAAAAAAGAAAAATCCTCGGATTTGGCCCACTATTTTTGGGGTGTGTTGCAGCTGTTTTTATTGATTTTTATTTATTTCTATTTGATTTAATTTTATTTTTTCGCCCTCATGGGGGCATGGCCATAGTGGCACCCCTTGGCTACGTCCTTACATTCATAAGTATGTGAGAAGTAACAAAGCGCATTCCTAAATCACCGACCGTAGCCTAGAGCATACAGTAAACCTCTCTAAGTATGATGTTATTTAACAAAGTATAAATCATAATCATAATCAAAAACAGGAGTTGGTCTTGTTGACATTCAGTTCTGATGATGTCGACAACGATTTTTTTCTCTTTATTTGCTTAGAGGCATAAATTGTGGTCAGCGTCGTTCAAATGATCAAAATCACATTCCATCTGCAATCAACCAAACATGTATAAAAGGCCACTCCCAAACAAACACTCTACATCTACACCACACAACAAACACTCTATCGGTGTGTTTCATCTGTGATACTGGCATCCATCACTAACGTTCCTCTCTGTCGGCCGCTGCTATTTTTTGCTCAGTTTTCTGATGGCTCGTTTTTTGCCCGTCAGTTCAATGCGCTCGGCGTCGGTCGGTCAGGAAACTAGGCGATGGGCAGGATCTGCTATGTGGTCTTTTCGGTCTGCTGGATGGTCTTTTCGGTCTGCTGGGTGGTCTTTTCGGCTGGTGGGTGGTCCTTTGGGTCTGCTTGGTGGTCCTTTGGGTCTTCTCATTGGTCGTTTGGTTCTGCTGGATGGTCTGTGACGAATGCTGACTGCCCTGTGGCGTGGTCTGTGCCTGTGGGCTGGTCTGTGTCCGCGGGCTGGTGTGTGCCTGTGGGCTGGTCTGTGGAAGGTGGGCTTGGTAGCGCCGTGATCTACATAGAGTCTGGTTGTTGGCATGTTAGATGCTGGAATACCTTCAGGGTCTTTTATGTGATTTCTTGGGTCTGGTAACTGGCAAGTGAGTCTGCTAGAGGCTCTGATTTCTGAGAGACATGCTGGTGTTGCGGTGTTGGGGGCGGTATTGCTGGACAGCTTTTTATTCCTGAATTCGGATGGTCGTATAGTTTTTTTGTGAGGTGTCGATGAAGCTGATGACTGATGAGCACTCTCTTCGGAACAGAAACTGCAGACTGATAGCCATTGGGACCGCTCGTGTATTTGCCGTGTCTGACAGCACTATAGCTGATCTGCCGGGCCGACTGGTTAATCCCCGGGTTCCGTGGGCTGTGTTTAGAAGAGCCAGCAGATCCCACCGCCTCGCCGAACGGAGCTCGTTCCGATGTGCCACTGACCGCCACTGGCGCGTCATAACGACCCCATGAGAGTGAGCTGGTTCCACTAGCCGAGGAGGCGCTCCCGCGGATTCCCAGGAATCGCTATTGGTTCGCGCCGCGCGGCCCGAGCGGGATTGTATTACCTTCCCGGCGCCGGCGGCGGGGCGCCGGCCAGTGGTCACGGCGCTGTCTGGGCCCATCAGGTCAGACGAGGCCAGGTTATTGTCGGAGGAAGCCAGGTTATTGTCGAGCCGGCCGAGGGCGTCGGTGCGGAAGTGGTTTATGGACTGGCGGTTGATCAAGCCTGATCGCCGGCCGCCGACGCCCGGCCGCTGGCCTTATCGGCTATTAATTTCCTGACGAGTATCAGCCAGCAAAATGTGACCGAACGCTGTATTTACTTACGGACATATATACTGAAGCAAGATTATTTGGTAACGAGTATCGATGTGATATATATATTTTCATTAAGTGATTTGAATTGTAGTGAGACGTGTGCGTAAGACATTGTTTATTTGTGTACCGAACAATTCATGTCAAAGGCACTTAAAAATAACAGCAAGAATAAATAATTGAATGCTTCAAACACATGTGCATGTGTATTTTGTGCAATCTATTTTTTATGTCTACTTGAACATAAAAGCGGAACATTTTGGCGTCTTGGAATTCATTGACGCAGTGATTGATACCAGTTCAAGCTTTTCAACTGTCAACATATTTCTGTCTTTGCTTTGGCTCACGAAAAGCAATGTCATTGTAAACTTAAGTTGTGCGTGAGTTTATTGGCATCTCTTGTACCTATTTCTATAACTGCGTATAATTACAAAACAACCCATTTGCTGCGAGCGCCAATGCACTTCTATAAGCAAGGGATTTGGCCTCTATCCACCATGACGCTATCCCCCGCTCTTTGGCAGTCAGTGACCCCGATCGATCCAGCTTCCCCGCCGAGACTGATCTTTGATCCGTTCCAGAGAATCCATGTCCCTCCTCCCACTGTTAAAACGCCTGGCGTCGAGCGGAGAAGCGAACAGGCCTGACAAACGCAGGTGACAGGGCCGCGGGGCGAATTCCGTCAGTCGCGGAGAATCCCCCGATTTGCTGCCGTGGTGTGGAGTGATGCCTGTTGCCGAGGGTGCTGACGGTTGATTGGTTCGCAGCAGGTGACGCCGAGCTGGTATCGGCGTTTTGTGTGACGTGGTGATTCATCGACGCCATATGATGGTTGAGTAATAATTCGATGTTTTGGCCTTGCAAAGAAGCTTTGCAAACTTCAAGGCAAAAACCTGCATAGGCTAGCGAATTCAATTTGGCGTTCATAAGCTTCCTTTACCAAAGTCCCGAATTCATAACAGATAACATTTCAATCACTTTCACAGCTTGCGCTACAGCAAATAGAGACGAAGGCTGATATCAAAGTTCAGACGGCCCAAGTTCCAATGGATCGTCTGAGATTTTGTCATTTATACTATCAACTGTCAGGAACTGCTACACAGAGACCAATCACCAGAAACTGAATCGATTCTTACATATAGCTGGCTTATGAAAACACAAAGCTGGCCGAAATGTGGATCTCAGGAGTCACAGAGTGATGCTTCCTTTTAGCCCTTGTGCGTGCTTTGAATGCAAAAATAATACGGACAAACTCGTGGGCTTGGGGCCTGCTCACAGGCCTGCCTTCAACACCCAACACGCCTCCATTCGTCCAGTGCTTCTGACCGGCCAGCAACTATACAATTTTGATCTCGCAATTTTCTTCACTTCTCGTAAATACCGTCCACTTCTGCCGACCCGCACACCAGCTCAAGCTCAACAGGTTTCACCTATTTGCTCCTAGCTGACCCCTAAAAAGCACGACCGGATCCCCAAAGTCGCTGGACCTCACCACTGAAAGCTGGAGCAAATTCAACATTAATTTTACAACCAGCCTCACCCCATATCATCACGATCAGCCCATAAATTCCTGCACGCAATTTCGCCGACTGACGAGCGCTCATTGAGCAGAACTCGGCTAACTCACTGTGAGTGTCGGACTGCTCGTTTGAGTGTGGCACGATTCGTTTCTGGGGGAACTCGCTCCAACGTTAGCGCGTGATGAATGGTGTCGGGTGTGCCGTCTGCCGCCTATCGTCCTCCAAATGAGCTGAAGCGGCCCAAATTAGCGGCCCGGCCCGATCGCCTTCTGACGTGTCGTTCGTTTTCGGAAATGAGGCGGCCCTGACAAGTGGTAGAAACGAGTCGGTTTGGCTCTCTGCATGAATTGGGGATATTCCTGTGAGCTCGAACTAAATGGACGGATCGAAAGCCAAAGGTTTTTTTTTTTAGCTTTTACCATGCGCAATAAATAGTTGGCTTCAGGTGTTGAGACCGGGATAACTTTGTAATTCATGCAATCAAGCCAGATTAATTTACTTCTTTTCTTCTAATATCACAAATGTCCATTTCTATCCATATCCATGCTGGACGTTTATGTATCTTAGCTTATTTTGGATATCAACACTTTGCCACTCGGACAATGCAACAGCGGATGCAAGCAAAGAGAGACATAAATTCAACATTTACCTACATCCACATTAACCGAACAATCTTTTTTACTCGCCCTTGCAAGGACCACCAGTCTTCCGTATGATACCGTAATAGCTCTGGATATGCATATGCTGCCATGAGGAATAGTGCAATCTGCATAATTTCACAATAGACCCTGCCTCGGCTAACTAACCGTCTTGAGACACAACTCCAACAGGCAGTGATAAATAATGGTGCATGTAAGTGACTAAATGGATCTGAAAGAGGAAGCATAGCACCATTGAAAATGATGCACGGAGATGGCGTAATTCATGTCGAGTATCAAGTCTAGTGTCCGTTTATTTTCATCGCCCAGCTTTGAAAATTTGTGTTTCCTTCCTATTGATTTGGAAGAAATGCCTATTACCCACCAAAGACACTTCTCAAACATGCCAAATATTGGACGCGAATATCATGTTGTATCGAACTTTATTATCTGTGATGTTTGCAATAGCTGCGTAAAAAGAGTCGGTCTGGGCATATGCTGACAACCTACAGCTTTTTGGTGCGTCATTTCACTCCACTTTCTGCTGACACCCGGCTCCATCTGCTCTCTCCCCAGACGAGGCCCTCTGCTCAGCCGGCGGGATGGCCCGGGGCGGGGTCAGACGCGACCCCCGCGACCCCCGCGACCCGGCGTGACCTCAGCGGAGCGGGGGGAGCGGCGCCGGCAGCGCCTGGGTCTTCGGGCCGGCTGGGAGGGGCACGGCACCGCCTGCGGGGACCGGCTGACCGCACACATAGTCACACACATCACATCGGCCTGAGACGGGTCACCGGACTCATCACATCGACCTAGGACGGGTCAAGAGATACATTGCCTCGGCCTAGACGGGCCACGGGACTCATCACATCGGATTAGGTTAGACCACGTGATTCATCACTCCGGTCTACATAGATCGGACCACGTGACGCATCGTTTTAACCTAGGCTGGACCACGTGACACATCATTTCGGCTTGGGCTGAGTCACGTGATGCTTCATTTCGGCCTAGTCTAGACCACGTGACGCATCATGTTGGCCTAGGCTGGACTATTTAAACACAGGGAACGTTCCGTGAGATAAGAAGGGTTTGAAGAAGGGCTTGATTGTCTGCTCCAGAGACTGGGTGAACGGAGTGTATGCTGTGAGATGGTAAATACGGGCTGGATTTGTAACGGACGAATGGCCGGACGAGGACTGTCGAAAACCACCTCGGGGGAGAGGGGTCACAGGGGCCAGGGCATGTGGCAATCCGCACTGCCACGTGATCGAGAGGCCATTTACGAGAAATATGCGGCCAAGCTCAAATTAAATTTTGATATATTTTAGATGATTGGAACTAGAGTATCGTCGGTAAACAAGGAATCACAATTAGGCCCAATACATGTAATGATGTGGATAGGAATACTAATTTACTTTGAACGTAGTTCCTAGCTTCGTTAATTGATTTGGGCTTTACGGTGCCATGGAGACGCCGCTCTTAAAACTTTAACCAACTCTACTGAACTCTAGTGGCTAACTGGCAAACTATTTTCAATTGAATTGATTAGGTGCATTCTTTTTCAAAACAAATCGCGGCCTCTGCTATATCTTAATCGTAATTTTAGCCACGTAGGTAAACGTATTAAAACACCATGCTTACCAACTCTATTAAAGTCATTGGTCACAAAAGCCGTTTCCACTACGGTTATCTGGCACTCATTTGGTCACATGGGGTGTGATTTGGTCAAATTAGGCTCATATTTGACTCTTAGTAGTTTTCAGCTTAGGATGCACTAGCTGTTTTGGTATGGACATTACATAGAAGGTGCCATTTATCAAAATATCATGCATGATCTTATACTAAAACATTGGAATAAATTCATGATGTGAATATATTTGCTGTAAAAAAGTTATACAAAGTGATGAGTTGGGAAAGTTTGGAGCATTTGCCAAATAACCCGTCGTGAAAACGACTATTATTTGCACCCAATCGCTCGCTAACTCAGGGCAACAGTCTGGCAGCATTCTGTAACTGACCTCCAGAGGGTGACAGCGGTGACCTGCTGACCTGACCTGTGACCTTGCCGGGCACTCGACGCTCCTCGTCAGGCCATCCGACCAATCAGAGGTCGCTCAGACCTCGCCGCCTTCTCCGCGGCAAAACGATGATTTTGGCGTCGGATAGGTGGTCAATCAAACTGCGCAAATGCCACCAACATCCGACAACGGCTTGTGTTCGCATGTCAGTTAATAAACACAAACACAAGCGCAAGTCCTCAATTTTCGAGCGATTTGCGTTGGGGTTTCACCCGCAGTGTGTGGGCGGTACGATTTTCCGAGACTGGTGAGGGAGATCAGTCGTGTTTTATCGCTCAAAGGACCGCCGTTGTGAACTGTATAGATGGCTCTATGTGACCGTGTCGTTTGGTGTTCTGTCGATTGAAATGTTTCGTGACGAGACGCGTAGAAGAGCTGCTGTGACGACCATTTTTGTACAGCTCGCTGTGCTGGTTTCGATGTCGTCTGACACCGGTGCTCTTATTCTTCCATCCATTTCTCGTGATTGATGCGATTGTGTAGCCTTTTGTCTTATGGATATATCGGTTTCAGCTTCTTCTTTGAAGTCGTCTTTTAATCATTTCTCATTTATAGTTTCTTTAATTCTTTACTCTTCATTTCTCGTTCCTTTGCTCCTCGCTTCAACTTTTCTTCTAAGAACTGATTACCTCTACGTTTGCTCGATATAAAAACATTCCTTTTGTCATACCTCGAACATGCCACAATTATCATTAGGTTGGTTATCTTTTTTCTTAGGTCGAAAGCAAAGATCGTGAACAATTATTGCTAATGCAGATGGCCTCTTGCTGCGGGCAACAGTTCGGAAAATTATAAATGCTTGATGTCATTGTTTCTTCGGGAAAGGATCACGAAAGGGTACATACTAATCACACTGCACTATCAAAATTACCTCTACAATACATATTTCGCAGCGAGCTGAGCCTGCCGGGAAAAGCATACGTTTATAATGTAAGATGTATAGAGCTTACGGTATCATTGTAAGTAGTTTTGTATGCATCCGATGATCGTAGTGCAGTCCATCTGATAGCAATTCGTGAATGAACATCTATGTACAGGGTGTTGCAGGTAAATTGGGAATTTTCAGACCTAATTTCAACATGCTATTAATACGGTGAATGAAAACACAGAACGTTGAAACTTCGCACGTGTATTGTGTCATGTACGCACAGCCTTGTCACTCGATGTGACCGCCGTCGGCGTCCCGCGCCCTCTCGAGACGGCGCCGGAAAGCGGAGCACGCGCGCCGGGCCTCGTCCTGGTCAATGGTGCTGACTGCCTTCCTGATGGCCTTCTTCAGGTCAGAAACGTTGGCAGGAGTGGTCGAGTTGGAGTTTTGTTCTACCACGCCCCACATCCAGAAGTCGCTTGGATTTAAGTCAGGCGAGTTGGAGGGCCATATGTCCTTGGGTACATATAGGGGGATCCTCTGGCTCGGGAAATCTTGCACCCTCTGGGAAGCATGTGCTGGGGCGGAGTCTTGCACCAGCATGACTTTGCTCAAGTCATAGTATTTCATCATCCAGGAGATGAGAGACTCCTTCAGGATGGTCAAATACGCGTCAGTGTCGATCATCACACCAGCAGGCATGAAATGGGGCGGCATTATGCGGCCATCACTTGCGACGGCCCCGAACACCATTACTGATGCCGGATTTTTTCCTTTCATCACGGGAGCCACTTCATCAGGGCTGTAGGCGATAGCCCGCGAGTTCCTGCGGTTGGCGACCTCTTCTACGATGAACTTTTTCTCATCGACAAATACTCTGACGTCACTCCCGAGGTGCTTGAGGAGATTGAGGACCTTCGGTGCCCTCTCCCTTCGTATCGCTCTTGCTGGTTCGGTCAGGAGGCTTCGTCGTTTTCTGGTAAACGACTTTATCCCGAGGTCCTCTCTCACGGCTCTGCTGATGGTGCTCTTGCTCACGTGACGGGCACGCGCAAGCTTGTTCATCAAGGTCCTCAGTTTGGCCTGTATCGAGCGTTTCAAGCCGCTCAGGAATGTTGGTGTCCGTTTTTGGTCACTGCGAGGTGTGTGAGAACGTCGAGCGACATCCCCTCCAGCTCCTACAGTCACGATAATTCGGTACACGGTAGACTTTGGGTACCCAGTTAAACTTATTATGTCCTTCGCGCTCTGTCCGGCGCGAACTAACTCACCAATCGTTTCCCTCCGACGCTGCTCCATGACTGCGCGATATGTTAGGATTAAAATTTCCATATCAAATGAAAAACAATTGTTGAAATTATATTGTGTCAAATTTCCATGATGTTCCTCCGCATACCAAATTTTTTGTAAGGTCATGAACTTAGTCCCAATTTATCTGCAACACCCTGTATATCGCATCAAAATGTATTTTATCGCTGTGGGCTGTTGGATACAATGAATGGATCAATGGATTGTGGATTGTGTGATCACTCAGTGACCCAATTGTTCCCCTGTTCTTTGCCCCGTGTCCCTTGACACCTCATTCCTCGCCCGTCTCTGCCTCCCCTTGTGACGCCTTCTTGGGTCACCATTTACCCCGCCTGAGACCCCTTCCCCTGCCCCGCCCCTTCCCTGTACCGAGAGACCGTTGCACCGGCTGATACGCTCATGTGGAAAATGTTGGCGCTTGACCGGCGACAGCGATGATCGACGTTGAGTTCAGTGAGCTTTGGCGCTCGGGCGCGTCCTGAGCGCTTACGTTTGATGCTTGCTTCCCAATGCCAGTGACCGATAATACAATGTCATTAGTGTTTCTGAGGAGGGACTTTGTATTGGAAACCACTCGACGAAGTTTCGTCAGCAAGGCACTCGACGGCGTATTCAATTATTACATTTTCGAGATTTTTGTTCAATGCGAGATCACACTGCGTGAAATCTAATGGATTTTCTGTCTATGTGGCGCATCGCAGTCACATGTCATAGCAAGTTCACCGTACTGAATTGATGCATGACATTGGTAAGCCATTAGCAATCCCTCGAACTGCATTTCCATCAACATCCAACATACGGCAACATGCGTTTGCCAAAATAGACCCAACCCGTCACATCCCTCGGTACTAAGACCTCGGCCTTATGGCGCCGGAGACGACGGAGTATCGCCAGCAACGATTACTGCGTCAGCCGGCGGAGGTGGAGGGGAGGTGGAGGGGGAGTCTGCCTCCCTAGGGGTGTCTACGACGGCCCGCAGCCGCCACCGATCACCGCTGCCACCGCCGCCCGCTAGCCTCGTTACCACAGCGAGGAAAACTCTCAGAGAACCGCGACCGACAAAAGTGATATCGAAAGAGCACCAAATCACCTGCAAACTGAGTCAGGATGAGGAACAGCGCATTTATTGTGAACGATTAACAAATGTAAGCATGCAGGTTTACAGCGAGGGTGTCTCACTTCTGTCTGCTCAGCCCTCGGCGGCCTCTGTCACCGGCTTTTGTGACCTGGTGGAGTGACATTTTGGACGTGGCAAACAAGCGAGCCATTGTGCATCGAAAGGCTTGCAGATGTCTGAGTGGAAAATGAGCCCCAGTCGGCAACACGTCAGCCGAGAGCGACCACCTGCCGATTGGTAGCCTCACGACGATAAAGGAACACGATCGGAGATAAAAACGGGAGGTGACACAGACAAGTCAAAGGGCTTGATCGAAACAGTTGATAGAAAAGACTGAGGTGCAAGGGTAATGATAATAGCACATTGGCATGGCCACGTTGACCGATGATAAGCTTAGAATACTAGTTTACTAGAATACTAAGTTATTTCTTATGGTTGGAGGATGGTTATGAAGGTTATGGTTGGATTTTTATGGAACCTGTATCT